CAAAAATACTTTTATATTACGAAACGGAGGGGGTAATTAATTAACTGATGGATGGCAGGAGCGCAGCTCGCGCATCTTTAACAACCGCCACTGCCCCGACGCTGTGGTTTTCGTGAAGATTGTTGACGAGGCTAGGCTACGGTGCAGTGATGGCAGTGGCGGATCCATGCTGATGGCCTCGTGAACAGACCACTTGATCCTCTGATTAGCACCCCCTAGGTGTTGTTATCTTTCATTGTTGTCTACTTTGTCCTGCTCTTGTACCGAATTATGACCTTTTTTATCTTCAACTGAGTCATTCATGGATGAAGTAGAGCGTGTGTTTTTGTTGGAATGATGCCTCGCCAAGTTGCTGAGTCACGCACCACTAACGTCGGACGTGGATCAAACTGGCTATTAAAGTTTTATTCTTTCTTGCCAACACACATGATATGTATGTGCAGACGGAACATGTAACCTTTCTGCACATGCCTACACTTTAATTTATGATAGAAATGAGCGCGTGTTTGTTTGTCGCGAGGTCAGAGATGGTGACGAATTTTGATGCAGTATATATAATTCCTTGCTTGCTGTTGTTGGTTGAGTTGCAGGCTGCACCTAGGGAGGGGAAGAGAATGAGATAGATGCCAAGTCATCAAGATACACATGTCTTGTGTGTGCACTTACTGATGTGGCATATGCGCGCGGACCATTCGGTTCGGTTCGATTCAACTGGTACATGTATGTAAGTGGCATATTTCTTGTGCTTATAAACAATCTGATTCGGTGGGTGCGTCTTAATATATGACTAGTTGTGAGCACTAAGCTAAGCATCTCTTCTATTTTCTTCTTTTTTTAACTAGTTGTGTTTACCGGCAGGGCAAGCAAAGCCGATCAAAGGCCGTTAATTGGGCTGAATTTACTTCTTTTTTTTTGTTGCGCCGGCCAAAGTCTCACGAGGAGCACGCGCGTGCCTGTGGTGTGTCCGTGCCAACGGCTTACTGCATTTTCGATGATCCATAACGATGTCTCCTGCGTGCCTGCACCGACGTAGGGTAGGATGGATGCTGCAGTATTTTGCACCAAGAAACACCGCTGCTCAAAGAGAAATTAATGTAAGATATACTAACCTAAAATGCCTTGCATTTGTTTACAGAGGAGGGAGTATTTTATTTATTTTTTACTTTTTGAAAATGTATTTAGTTGAATTTGCACCGAGTGTTCAGTTTAGTCGTTTGGCTGAACCAAAATCTTGTGTTTGTGTTTTGCTATCAATCTATCTAGTAGTAAAAGACAAACAAAAGGTTAGCTAGTCATGCGCATGCAAGCATGGTTGCAGATAGTTTGGCCGCTTGTTGCGCCGGCACACCAGATTATTATTATTATTATTATTATTATTATTGAAGAACCTCATAGCGAGGGCAGAGTGTTCCTGCAGTTCATGAGATGAGAATCATGGGACTCTAGCTAGCTAACGGTTGAATGGCGTGAACATGCAGAAACAGTCTCCACTAGCGCGGGTGGCTTGTGTATGTGGCGCATGTTTACCGGCTGGGCAAAAGCAAGCCAAATGAAAGGTTTACTTTGGATGGATTTGCTGAAGCCGTCGGTGGCGTGCGTGCGCCTAAGCAGAGATGGTTTCAGATGTACCATCATCGTCACCAGTAGCTCATTTAAGCCTTCATATAAAACTATGTCGTACCATGAAATTAATTAATCGCCCGTTGTTGATCGTGCTTTCCATTGCAGAGATTTAGTATCATCAAAGCATATTATGTATCATGAGGAGCGCGTGTCCCCTGCCTGCCTGCCTCCACCGACTATGCTAAAATGGTTGTACTAGTATTGATAATTAAAGTGTGCCTAAAGTGCTCGATTTAAGGAGATGTCCATCCCTATAACATACTAACAACTTTTGGCTTAACAAACTTGGAAGCGGCAGGTTGCCTGTCACTTCATGTAGTACATCAATTGCTTAGGATTCGGTTTAATTGATAATTAAAAAGATCATGTAGTACTAGTACGTAGGTTCGAGCTGGAGGCGAGATATTTTGCTGGATATATACCCCGGGCGCTCGTATGTTGTGTCGACACACGCAGACACAGCTCTCTTAACAACAGAATACAGCTATGTAGGAGCACAGTACGAATCTACCCACAACGAAAAGGGATTTCATTGAATCATATACTATATGTTTTAATAATTTACTTGAGCGGCATATACGAATATATCATCCGATTTGATTGGTACGTCTGCACATAATTATATACGTATAAGTGAGGTGGGAGTGAGCTAGCTGTGGATGCTAAGCTAAGCATCTACTATTCTATTGTATTCCATTCTTGCCTAAGAAAGGAACAAACAAACAGGCTGGGAAAAGAAAGAAAGACAGAAGGCAGCATGCATGCAGGAGGAAGATCCGAATGGGGATCGATGCCACCGGTAGAATAATATTGGAGCTGGAGCGTGTCGGTGTCGTCCGTTGAGCCAGCAATTCTGTATTACAGTGCTCAACAGAAAACAAGTTTGCAGAAGCAACTAGTAGAGTAGATAGGATGGGGAGGGAGAGACATAGGTAAAAAAAGGTTGCCACAACCGCAAAAAAAAAAGGTGGCACAAGATCGAGCACAAACGCGTTAATCCGTCCACACTGGTGGCCTGGTCTGTGTTTACCGGGGGGACAAACAAGCAAGATGAGGGTTAGGTTAATTACTAGACTAGAGTATAAGTAGTTGGACTGAATTATTAGCAGCAAGAGTTGTCGGTGGCGAGCCCAGAGAGTTTCAGATGGATGGAAATTCTGACGAGATATCCGGCTCATCATCGTCGTTTATTAATTCGTTTATATTTATAAAAAAGATATACGTGACCTCTGCTCCAGGTTTCGTTAATTAATTATTATTTTTCGAAACGGCCGTCTATTAATTCTGGAAGCCGCGGAAAAGAAAGATCGGCCGGCCACACAGGTTGGACGATCGAGACGAGACACGCCAGCAGCAAGGAGAAGCGTTGGGTCCAAATCCAATCCAAGCAGCACAAGCGCGTCGTCGTCATAGCAGTGGTTCGCGTGCATGCCACTATGTATGCCATGCCAGTAAGCACGTACGTACGTATGACCTGCCACACGCACGCAGGGATGAGGAACGAAAGGCTGCAAATGGGTTGTGTTGTGCCATCCAAATTTTTGGCTTTGTGAAGTGGGAGGATGAGTGGCGTACGAACCACAGTAAAACAAATGTGAGCAATACATACAGAAAACCACGTCAACATACGTACTGCGAACGCAGGTGCACACGAAGTCACTTTTCTTGATCGAGTCTCCTCGCCTCTCCTCTCCTCTCCAAGGTAGGGGCGTGTGTTGGCGTTGACGTGGCCTCGACATCACGGTAACATGCGGCTGCCTCACCCCACGTGGAGGCACGTCATGGTCAGATTGAGTAGTAGTAATCCACGCCGGCCCGGCATCATATCACGCAGCAAAGGCCAAGTCAGCATCACACCGTCTCATCATCATCATCTTCTTCTTTGGCCCTGCACCGGCAGTCCGCAGGCAGTGAAGGCAGCATTTCCTCTCTTCTCCATCACCACACCGTCTCATCATCATCATCATCTTCTTCTTTGGCCCTGCACCGGCAGTCCGCAGGCAGTGGAGGCAGCGTCTCCTCTCTTCTCCACCACCACACCGTCTCATCATCATCATCATCTTCT